TTTTAATAAACACTATATTAAAGGCTAATTTTTTTTATTAAACACTTATTTGTTAACTACAAAGTTTTTGGTTGTCGGATTCCAAAGCTTATGATCTTTCACTCACTCTTCATTGTCTAAGAATATACACCTCTTTGATTTTGAGCCAAGCTTTGACTTTTCATCACTTAAGATATGGACATATCTAGGACATTTAAATACCCTCAAACGTGGATAGTTCACTTCATTTCCTAACCACATTTTTTCAACAACATTTCAAGAACAACCATTGACGATCTACTAAGTATATGACAAAACATGTTAACTACCATTATTTGGAACTTTTATTGTAACTTTGTATCCAACCTCAAAAATCTTACTTTCTTTGTGGTTATCTTGTTCATTCCTTTAGCAACTCTATTTTTTTGCATTATGTTTTTGATAGTGAAGTGTCTCTTGATCTCATGCTTTTCATAATACCTCACAAATTCAGAATCTTTATATTCCACACCATTACCTATAGTTTTATACCTCATTAAAAAAATTGTTTTCTATAGTTTGAAGTTTTGGCTTTTATAAAATAAACTCAATATTTTCTAATGTAATTATTGATAAAAGTCACAAAATAATTAAATGTCTTTTGACTTCACATTTATAGGTTCTGAAACATCTAAATCCACATAATTAAAGAATGACTTGCCACTATTGATGGGTAATTTAACCAAACTTTGCATTATTTTCTCTTAATATAGTATTTGCAAAAGTCATAAGAAACTTGTCTTATGGAGCTCTTTCATAACATTCTCACTATTATTGCCTAACCTTAAGTGCCATAATAATGTGTTGTGCATAATTGAGTTTTAAACTATGGTTGATGAAGTTGAAGTTCAACCTACAAGTGTGATCTCTAGTCATCTATAAATAATATATGGCAGCTTTCTTACATTTATCACCACCAAAGTTCCTTTACATACTTTCATGGTTCTATTTTCAGCTTTAAAGGTAAAATCATTTGAATATAATTTTCATAATAAAATTAGATTCTTATTGACATTAGGGACACATCTCACATTACCCAAAGTTCTTAAAATATCATCAATTTTTTAAATTTTAATGGTATTAGTTCTAATGACTTTACAAGAAATATCATTGCCCATAATAACACAGCTTGAATTAATGACATGCAGGTGTGAAACCAATGCAAATTTGGACCAACATGATATGAGCACCTTGAATTCAATATCTATGAATCTATAATTTTTTTCACTGCAGCTAATACTAAGGCCATATCTCCATCATTACTCTCTTATTAGTTTTTGCAACATTTGTAAAATCAGAACAACCATTCTTAAGACCCTTTACATATTGATTTTCAGTCAATCTTTCCTCAAGAAACCCTTCTTAGGACATATCAAAACAGTCTTAATCTAGTGTGCTCTGGATTTTGACCTTGACTATGATTTTCTACTCTCCATTGATTTTCTTCTTTTCCTCTAATAGCCATCAGCCCTTCAAGTTGTGCATTTTTAGAATTTACCTTCCTCTAAAAGTAATGTAGGAGATCTACTATTGCCTCTTCAATATTAAGTGCTACTTTCCTTTACAATATTTTTTGTTACTAAATTCTCTTACATGCGCTGGGGATAGTGCTAAGAAGGATCAGCACCTTATCCTCATATTTGAATTTAACATCTCACCCCAACAGATTTTTAAGCATCTAATTGAAATTATCTATATGTATTATAAGATTAGTTCCCTCTCCATCTTACGCACCTATTCCTTCTATTTAAGAAACAACATATTGAACAACACTCAATCAACATGAAATAACTATTTAATTATGTTCAAATACTAATAGGTAAATACTCATTTAAGATGATATAAAATAGTACATGCAAGACAATCACTATTGTAGATTTATTTGGCTTTCCATATAATGTAATAACAAAAAATTATTGAACAATCACATCATTCACTCTTCATTGTCATAGACCAAAATTAGATGCACTCAAATCTCTCCATAGAAATTTGAAAAAAAACTCCTGGTCATTTTTCTTCTTCTTGAACGTTGCTTTGGTACCACTTGTTGATCGAATTAGATAAAATTAGTGTTAGAATTTTTTTTAGTGAAATTAAAGATGTGAGAAGAATGAAAGTCGAAGAACACAATGTAATTTTCAAAATCAATCAATCTATCTTCGTCTTCTCAAGAGAGAGATAGAGAGATAGGAGAACATATACAAGTGAGATAAAAATATATTATTCTCATTAAAATTTTAAATCATATCAGGGTACAAAACCATGCCAGCATTTATATCCCCTCTCATCTCATGAGAGATTATAAGTATGCCTCCAACGTAATGGATGGAGAAAATGATTTCACCTCCTCCCAATCCACTACAGATTGGCCTAATCATGGCCCAAGAGGTCATTAGTTCATCTCATTGAGCCCAATTGAGTCATATCTCAACATTTCTCTTGTAGAAATATATATATATATATTAGTGAGTTCTGATATTATCTCAAGAAGAGAGTCACATCAATGCTATCAACTGAGCAACATATATCCTGAGTAATGGCATGCATTGGATGCAATTGTAACTAATGTGTAAGACTATTTGATAAACTTCATGGTCCTCTCAATAGATAATTTTGACACTATCGTAAGTATAAATATCTTGACTGGAGATTGGGCATGAATCTATACTCAATGCCATGAGATTCTCTTAGTAGGTGGACCCAAGCTATACTTCTTTTTGTGATGAGGATGGCTGACCTTATCTATATGCAGTTTTAGCCCTATAACATGTGTGACAAAATGCAACATGAAGACCTTGCTAGTGGCATTGAGATACATGAGAAAGGGCAGTAACATGTGGCCACAGTCAAAATAGATTTTGTAAGTACGTAAACCCTAGAGGTGCAATGTAATAAGCTTCACAAGGACATTGTAACTACTCACATGGGCATACATGGTGGACGCACATGTACAGTACTTAGGGGGAGTCAGTGAAGATCTGCACCATGTTTATGCATGTTGGAGGGTGTAAATTAATGCTTGAAGATATCTCTTGTTTATGATGGTGGGTTTCTTGTAGATCCAATGAACATCTGCACCATTGAGTGGAAAATTCTCAATTGAATGCTCAAGTTATGTTTTTTCCTTTGGATAGTCAACTACTATTGCAAGTTAATATATGTCTCTACTAGATATGTGAAGGTGCCCACATACTTGATATAAAGGGGCATGCTTTAACACAGGTTTTAACAACCTTTCAACAATGTTAATCATCCATGATGGTGATGTAATTGCTCAGGTTTGTTTGGCTTTTTGAGGTGTCCAATAATATTTTCGAAGTTAATCTAATGGTTATGCTCATATTGATGGGAAACCTATTGCATTCAACTGCAATAATGAGTGGCACAAGACAACACACAAGAATGAGATGATGGTAGTGATACATTGCATGCTCATTTGACATTATTTTTTTTCTTGATACTTAGTGGTCCACATTAAAAATATGGCCTTGAGCTGTTTTGTCACATAGAAGTTGTTCTCCAAGCAAGCTTTTTATTGTAAGACTTCTAATTGGACAGCAATTTTGGCTGTGTGAAAATCAAGGCATGACAATATAGTGATATACACCCTTTGTTGTGAGAAATGAGAGTAGGTGCTTGTAGTGCTAATGAATGCAGCTATGTTAAATGATTGAACTATTGTATCACTAGTATGTGTTGCAAGAATGATGTGTCACCTCTAAGCAGAGGACTGTCATCTATTATGATGCATAAGAATTGTAGATATACATAAGAGCCTACTAAGTGAGGCTCATGACATGCACTACATTGGCCATCCTGACTTAGTGTGTATCTTTATATTGTTTGTAACTACAATCTATCCAACATGAAGAGAGAACTGGAGGCAAATATGCACTCTTACCTAGTAGAGTCTGTCAAGGCAGCGACCATGTTGAAGCTGCTAACCTTTTCTTCTAGACAATGGAAGTTTATTTCAATGAACTTCTTTAAAGATTAGCTTTGTAAAATTCAAGACAATGTACATTGTGTTAACTCAGTTCTGCTTGCATACCATATTTGCTTCAACAAAGAACAATAGATTGGAAGAGTAGGAGCACCTTTCCATGATGAACATGATCATTTATGGGGTGGGCTGCTAAAACAAATGGAGATAAAGTTGAAGGTCTTTGTGAACTTCCACTAATAAACTGGACGTTGCACATTAATTAGGCATTGGACTCAGTCAAATAGGCAGTCATTGTTTACGAAAGGAGCTGCTCCCGGGACACCAACCAAACGGGGTCAACAACGTGGCCATCACTCAAACACCTGTAATCCTCGCTGGACGATTTACGGTCATGTGAACCACGGATCACGTGGGCGGGAGCAGGGCGAACTTAACCAGGCAGACGGGCCATGTTTTGGAAAGAGATCCCCGGTTGAGAATTCCCTCGCTCCCCAGATTCACGGCATTTACTCCCTTCAAACAGGTATCTGAAAGCTTACTTTTCGAGCCTTTATGAAAGGCAGGCTCCCAAGTTCCAATCACGGGAAGCGTGTGGCGTCAGTGAGGCCTTAATTGGATCCGGAGGACACCAGAACTTCACTCGGTTCGCTTCAGCTCGGCTCAAGTGGCGACAAACGACAAGAGTCTGATGTTTCAGAGGTGGGATAGTCTCCTAGTCCGGAGGTACAGTGGAAGACTGTGTTTCCACTGCGCCGCCTTCGTGATTTGGGAAGAGGGTTGAGGGGGAATGGAGGTAGCCTGTTAGGCCGTGACGGCTTCCTGGTGGGGACTGGGAGGTGGCTACGCCATTGTTCCATTCTCCCACCTTCCAGGTTAATGGAGCTGACCTCCTGGTACGCCGGCCCTCGAAGAGAGGGGATAGATTAAAATCTTCCTGCTTCATTACCCTCCTCTCTCTCATCCAGGAGGTCCAGTGTCTTTGAGATCTGCAGCCGCAGCCCAGCGCTAGATTAGTTCTAGAAGAGAGGGTGTAACAATGGGGGAGGTATCTCTTCTCTCTCTCTCTCTCTCTCTCTCTCTCGCTCTCTCGCTGGTTCTACTTTTTTCGCCGGGGTGCTCCTCTCTGATCTGGTTTCTCTTGCAGGACCAAGGGAGAAACAAGTTGAGAGGAGAGGCGGACAAGAAGAATGGGAAGAAGAAACAGGAAGGAGACGAGGCCAAACACGATGCTGGAGTTGGGAGGTTAAAGAAAGAGGAGAAAAAGGGAGATGAGGGGAAAACGGCGGGGGGTGGCGGCAGCGTTGAAGGTGGAGGGGACAAGGAAACACCAACCCCGCCGCCAGAGGAGATCATCATGCGGGTCAACATGCACTGCGCGGGCTGCGCCAAGAAGATCAAGCGCTCTCTGATGGGCATCGAAGGTTTAAGCACGGTTGCATGAAAATATCAGATTTTTATTTGGTGAAAAGATGGGTTATCACTGATGATTAACAGGGGTGGAGGAGGTGAAGACTGATTGCGGGAACCACTTGGTTGTCGTCAAAGGGAAGGTGGCGGCGGGAGACCCCCTCGGGCTGGTCAACAGGTTGCAGAGGAAGAACGGTAGGAAAGTGGAGCTTCTCACCCCCGTCCTCCCAAAGCCCGTCGAGAAGAAAGATGAGAACCCCAAGCCGGTACTGAAGAAGGAAGAGGTCAGTCGTCTGATCTCACCGAAGAGTTATCCTCTGCCTCTGCCTCTCCTCCCCCCCCCAAACCTCTCTCTCTCTCCCCTCCCCCCCCCAAACCTCTCTCTCCCCTCCCCCCCCAAACCTCTCTCTCTCTCCCCTCCCCAACGTTTTCTCATGGCGGCAGCGGTTTTGGCGGCGCAGCAGCAGGTGACAATGGCCGTGCTGAAAGTGCACATGCACTGTGAGGCCTGCGGGCAAGAGATTAAGAAGAGAATCCTCAAGATAAAGGGAGTGGAGTCGGCGGAGCCGGATATCAAGACCTCCCAAGTGACAGTAAAGGGCGTCTTAGACCCGGTGACGCTCCTGGAGCACGTACACAGGCGCATCGGCCGCAACGCGGCAGTCGTGGAGGTCAAGCCGTTGGAGAAGGTGGCCGTCGACAAGGCCGGCGGCGGTGTCGCGACGAAGGAGAACGACGAGGGGGCAGCCGACGGCGCCCAAAGTGAAGTCAACGGTAACCCGTGGACTTGGAGCTATCCAAGATACCCGATGGAGTTCTCATATCCTTCCCAGATCTTCAGCGACGAGAATCCGAACGCTTGCTCGATTATGTGAGTACAGAACGGTGAGAATCCGAATGTGTGCCTGCTTTTACCCATCCTTATTCTTGGAATAGACTTTCTTTGATACCCTTTTCTTCACATCCCATTATCCTCAAAGTTGCCGTTGTTTGTATTTCCTACGTTAAGCTATTCCTCATGTCTCTATCGTCCATGTCCGAACCCTACCATGATATCAGCCAGCGTTGAGGAATCTAACGGCGGCCGTGCGTCTGACGTGCGCTCAGCCTGATCTCGATGGATATATTAAACGTATGTGGAAGTTCGCAGCCTCTACTGCCATTGGTGACGATAGAAAGAACTCGGATAGGCATCTTAATATAATTAGCGTAAAATCATAGTTAAATTTGATGGTTACCTAAATTTCTTGTTCTCGTAACTATCTCTAAACCTTACAAAAGCATAGAAGGCCAACCTCACTCGCTCCATACCGACGAAATCCTGAATGGTATCGAAATAAAGTGGTCTGTATGAAAGCTAAAATTAGATATCCGACTAAAAGAGGAGCACGCTTTCGCCTGTATTAGATGATAATCAAGGTCAGCTCAGCCAGGACAGTGCATTAGGATGTGATAAAGCCAATTCAAATGTTTTTATATAGCTAAGCATATACATGTCCAATTTCCAACGTATTCAAATGGTTTTGAATTCATATATTTATTAGTTGAGAGTTTGGAACCATTATTTGTCGATTCCCCCGGTCAATGGAGCCGCATGCGGTGGGAGCCGGTAGCTGTGGCTGCCGGCGCGCTAACTTTCTGTCTCTGTGACTCACAGCTACCGGCGCTGGCCATTTTTCTTTCTCCATGACTCGCGGCAGGCCACCTTTCTGTCTCCGTGGCCCCTCTCTCCGCCGTACGGCATAAACGAGCTGCTTGATATATACAATATATATACACGCCGTACGGCGCGAGGACCGGTGCCGCCAGATGGCCCGCCTCCCTCCTTGAGCTGCACGCTGCCAGAGGAAAAGGAGGCCTTTTTCGTCCCGTAACCGGCCCGCGTCGATGTAATACAAGCTTCGGAAACATACTAAATTGGCAGTAGACTGTCAGTTTTGGATCATATAATCGTTGGCGGCCGCGGCGACGACAAGGGTTGTTAGGGTTTTGAGCATTCCAAACTTCGAACCTGAGGCATTATTTATGTGCGAGTGTGAGGGAACGGTGTGGTTGGAGGGGCGGCTGGCCAGTCCACTGCGGTCGGAGAAGTTCCGGTCTTCTTTACTGAGTTGTACCCTCACCATTGTCGGCGGTCGGAGAGGTTACTCTGCACCGACATGTACCCTCACCGTCGCTGGGGATAGTAGAGGGTAGCCCGGCCTCTGAAGCTCCCCGGCTGTTGGACAGGGCCCGGTGCTTCACTTTGAATTGTGGGGTGGGGGGCAATGGGCCCAGGGCCCAATCTACTCGAAGCGGGCCGGGAGATCCGGGTTACGGCCCGGAGATAGCTTTCACCATCATCCATAGCTGTGAGGGATCAAACATTTTTTAAGGGTTATCCAGTTTGAACTCTTCATAAATTACCCGAAATAAGGATAAGCCCATTTCTTTTTCACATGGTCTTTTAGGTTCTTACAAACTATGCACATTGTTAATGTTTACTCCCTTGGCCAGTTTATATTGATTAAGAGAAATATTTTATTAATATTTGAATAATTCTGGATTTATCCCTCACCATGAGCAATCCACCCCGTTCTTAAATTATTATGGACATAAAATTGAAAAAATCACTATTATAGGACTTATTGATCATACATTCTAGTGTAATAGAAAACATTAAACTATTTTATGCGTCCACATATTATTTGATTGCCTTGATCAAGTCAGCATCCACATAGTAAACTATTTTTATGCATCCGCAATAGTTAGAGTAATAATAATAAATCATCATCATCATAATGACGGATCACCTCTAGTAACTACTAGCATATAATGATGACTTCTAGATGCGTGGCAGCCGGCTTCTCAAGAAGCATTTGGAGGGGAGAAGGGTTAACGAGTATTTTCCCTGTAGTGTCTCCCAAGGCTTCACTCTTCCAAAATTAGATGTATCTAACTCTCTCTATATCTCTTCCGCTCTCTCCCACCCTCCATCCCTCTCCCCCTCCAACACCTATAAACCCGCAGTTTCTTGATGAAAAATCGAAGTTACTCCATGCCATCGACGAGAGAGAGGGGGAGAGAGGAAGAAGTGTATTATCGTGTTTGAGGGTTTGTCCAGGATCACTACTTTTCCACCGTCAAAAAGGGTAGTCATAGCCCGACAGAGGACGCCGTCTTGAAAGACAAATGCGGCAAAAGCATTGGGACCACGGCGGAACGGTGGGATTATTCGGAGAATCCCACCGCCGGCGCCACCAGAAGAGAATTCAGAGGGAATCGTTCGCTCCAACGGACTATTTCAACATCACTTGAATTTCCCATCTGAGACGTAACCCTAAAGAGAGATTCCAACGCCCCTCGGCGAAACATCTCTCTCTCTCTCTCTCTCTCTCTCTCTCGCTCTCCCCACCTATCTCTCCATCCATCTATTTATCTATCTCTCGCTATATATATACAGATATGGATATATATATATATATACAAATTTGATGAAGATCAGATTAGCTGAAGCTGTAAAGCCGTGTAGGGTGCGTAATACGATACGGTGCCATTCTTTCGCCGTTGTGCGCAGACAAACTAGGCAAAGTACATGCCTCCTTTCCCGAGAAAACCTTCTCACGAGAGAATAACCTCTCTTGAGGGACCATCTATCAGAGAACTCAGATGACGGTGATACCTAAATAACGAAGTTCACCCAATCTATCTTCAGTTACACTTTAAAATAATAAAGCTGGTTCTTACAGTATATCCTTGCAATGGTATCGTATTATCAGAAAGTAATTACATCTAAATATAGGGTTCTGGGTTTTGGGATCCCTAAAATGTTAAAATTGGGTACAGTTAATCTGCTCCATTTAAACGATGAAGTGTTTATCTTTTTAGCTCCATAATGACAATAATTCAATAGCTATATCTGCTTGAGGGCACTCAATGTTTCATATTTGTGATAATAGCTAATCATTCTAAATTATCTGTAGCTTGCATAATTGAGACGGTTTCAAGAAGACTATATAATGTGGTATAATGATAAACAAAGAATATTATTTAAAAGCTAAGAAATCCCCTATTATATAGTTTTAATTTGTGTACATTTTAATCACACACTTCCATCTTTTTTGGGTATTCTTAGAACTTGGATGTGAATTAAGATGCAAATGAGTATGAAATAAAGAGAACTTTGAAAATTGAGCTTGTACTCCCGTGAAGTGAGACCCAAGAAAACGCCTCATCGTCAGACCACAGTGACGGCTGCCCAATGCTGGCATCATTGGGTATGTGGGGTAGGTTGGGAGCGTCGGGAGTTGGGGACAGGGACAGTGGGGATAGGGATTGTGATGGGTGATCGGAGAAGTGGTATTGTAGGGTATCCGTGGTGTGGAGGGAGTTTTAGATGCAAGGAGGTTCCTAAGGGTAGTGGTCCTCATAGTGAGGAGATGACAAAGTGAAATAGGCTTCAATGTGAACACAGGAGGGAAGATTACGTCAAGAGAACAAGTTGTCGGGGATCTTAAAAGACTTTAAAAAATTGAGAATTCACACAGAAAAATTGTTATTCAATTGCCCTTTTTCTTTTTAACAAGATTAATATTGTAAGGTCGGGTTCTCGTTTATCATTGTCAGTTTCCTCCTTTATGTTGTACATTTATTGAATTCTCTTCCAATCTTCGTTATATGGCCCTATGGACACCTTTTCCCACACAACGAGGACGATAGGATGATAATCCCCCTATTAATTAATACTTTCATTTGCGATTCTTCCCATAAATAAGGATCGCAAGAAAATGATTACTTTCATCGACAATAGTGATGAACGTGATCAACTCATCCTTTGGATGCAACGGCTGAAATGGTGATACTTCACATGATGTCAAAAGCGTGTCTTCCTCACGGTGACGGCTCGCAACTTTCCAGGCTTCTGAATTCTATAGCTCTTCGAAGATCTAATCTAGGGACTGTAAGTGTGAAATTAGATGCAAGCTCTGGAGTAATCCCAAATATGGGTAAGCTAATAGAGATTTCCACGTCTCTGACAATTTAAACATGAAGACTTACGCGAGAATAATCAACAATATCTTAGAAATTGAATGTAAATTTTAGATGCATATGGAGGAGAGATGGATAGTCTCTTAGAATGGGAGTTCCCATGATGCCCAGGCTCACAAAACAAAACATGGTGAAAGTGCTGAGGTCGGTGGAAAGTTGCAGAAGGCAGCCATCCCTCTCATGCACCACACTTTCGAGAGAAGATCCTGAGACGATTCCTCTCAAGAAGAAAGCGACGATAGTTTCTAGCGACGAAAGGATCACCAGTTCCGTCTACTTCTTCCTCATCTTCACCCTCTATAAAGCCCACCACTTCCTCTGTTTTCTGTTATCCACCATGGACGTTCTCATGGACGAGAAGAACAGAGTCTTCCCAAGCTTCATCTACCGCTATATTTTCATCATATTTCTGTGTCTGTTCCCTCTCTTCCTGCCCTGGGCAACCTCTTATCGGAATCGTATCCTCTCCGTCTCTTTCCCCTTCGTCGGCCAGTACGTCTCCAGGCCAGCCTTTCTATTCCTTCTGGGCAACAGCATCATCGTCTTCCTCGTCTTCGAGTCAAAGTTGTTGCTGGCCTCGGCAGAGCCGTCCCCATTCGATTTCTGCGAAGAATGCACGGACCAGAACAAGTGCCTCCTCTGCTGCTCCGTGAGCGTTACATCGTTGGCGCCGGTGTCGCATGAGGAAGAAGACGAAGAAGAAAAGGAAGAGGAAGAGGAGCTTTCCAGACAGTGCGACGATTTCATAGCCCAAGAGAACATGCGAAGGACGATTGAAGAGAAGAATCTTGCCAGTGGCAAACGAGCACCACCATATCAGGAAACATGATCACAAAATTTCCAGACAAAATAGCCATCGTTACGACATAATTTTCTTCGATTCGACAGTAAGAGTTTAGAAATCTCATTTCTCAGTGTAGAATCAAGCTCGTTTCCAAAAGCTTGAACATAAGTGGAAGTTCCTCACGATCTTCCCTGTACATAATAGTTTTACTCTCCACAGTGTATACCTCTCCAGGGTTTGGCTTTACTAGTTTATTTTCGGGCATATTTTTTCAATTAATTCATTGAATCTATCCTTCTCTCCTCCAGAAAGTGGTGTGTCTATTGCGTGCCACTCTCTCTCTCTCTCTCTCTCTCTCTCTCTCTCTCTCTCTCTCTATTGTATCCTCCCGACCCTTTCCCTACAGCACATAATTTGACGCTTACCTATAAGGACATGCCAAATGTTCTTCAGTTTAGATTTACGGATATCCTCGGTTGGAGGTACAGGTTTGTTGTTCTCACCATTCTATCCCTGAGAAAGGGGTGCCCACAACTTACTGCATCTCCTTGAGACATTAGTACTCATCGCTATTTCAACTGATTTATTTAACTTCCCAAGAATCTATTTGATGGTGGGAGAAAATCCACGAATTCATAAATGACCGAACCTTTTCTCCCACCAAGGGATCTAGGCAAGAACCCTTCACATTTTCCCTTATTTAGATGTACCTTGCTGCTTAGGAAACGAAATTTGACATCTACTCAGTGGTTTACTAAATATAGAAATATTTTTTCCCATTTCATATGTAAAGTGTTGGCTGTAATAAAACAGTACATGGACCCAAAGGGGGGGGAAGGTTAAAGTCAATTATTATTTTTCATTTCTATTTTTACAATATCGTAAATTACAATTCAAATACCGAAATCCAGATTTATATTGATTCGGTCCATGGCCTACTTCACTTTCTAAGGACAAAGTACATAGGTTCTACCAAGTCTTTAGTGAATTAACATTAAGCAGAAAATGTTGAGCTAGCCTTCATTGGATTTCACTACTGTAACATGTGCAACTATTTCCTAGAAACACTGTCTTGTTACATGGCTCTAAGAGACCAAGTGAATAAGTACATGGCTAATATCTACTAAATTAATAGTTCTACATTAGTCCAAGTACTAGAATATTTTTATTTTTATGTTGGCTATTTTTTCTTGAATTTCTGATATTTTAAAGGTCTTAAAGTGATCAAACAATGGTCTACCAAAAATTAGGATCCATTTCAAATGGTCACTTTTAGGGTACTATATGATGGTCTCTATATAGCATAATTAATCAAGAGGAGAGAGGTGAATTAGTTTATCTCTCCTTTTAATTAAATAAATTTATTTTTATTTTTTCATATATTAATATATATATACATGACTCGAGAATAGTTAATGCACTAGATTTTTATAGTGTTTCAGTCAAACTTTTTTGACCTACATTCACTTTCAAGGAGCTACCTCATTTTCACTAAATTCTATCACTAGAATACACCCTTGATTTTGTAGAAATCGGGATCCCTTTTTATAATCAGGTTCCATGAGCCTTTGACCTCTTAACCTAAAACTTTAACCCTAGAATTCTTAGGTTCCTAGGTCTTCACATTGCAAGCACACCTCTTGTGCATCAATGGCTTATGTGACTATATTGATGACACACTATATGTGTCTCGACCAGTATACACACCATGAAACAAATTAGAAACAAAAGAGCAATAAGGAACAAGTTCATCATAGCCCTTAAAAGTCATTTTTCATTCACCAAGAATAGTTGAAGGTGTTGAAGAAGATTACATAATGTTGGATTGAGGGAGCAAGTTTTTGAGTTATTGGAGAGGTTTCTGAAGCTCCCTTGAATCAATCTATCTTACTCTTGAACCTTACAATGCTTTATTTAATTTATAAACATAATTAGGATATTCAAAATGTATAAACCTAGGGGACTGATGGACATACACATCTTCTTTAATCATTCTATTTAAAAAGACACTCGTTATTTCCATTTAAAAAATAAATAAATAATTTATGTCTACAAGCATAGGCTTATAATATTTTTATGACATCTAGTCTAGTTATTGGAGCATATATTTCTTTCTAGTAAATCTGATGGGGTGGCTGAACCAAATCATGCTACTTCTCAAGATGATGTAATAGAGTCCATTCAAGATCAAGGTCAACTTCAAGTGGGACCTCCATCAGCAATAAGAAGTTCAACTCTCAAGTAGGTCAGCTAGGATTAGGGTCAACCCTAATTTCTAACTTTGTATGTGACGAGTCAACCGGAGACTACCTCCATTGCTGGATCCTAAGTGGAACTTGGGTTGACATTCCATGAATCCATAGGGATCAACAAGAGGGTCCATCCCATGTTGTGGGCCCATGAAGAAGAGGAGGAAGTGGAGCCACTGGAAGAAGACCCGATCGAGGAAAGCCCAATGGAAGAGGGCCATCTTCGCATGGGTCCATAAGGGAGGGTTGAGGCGTGCCCCTCTCCGAGAGACGCCACCTCTTCAAGAGGTGCCTCTAACCACCTCAATCATTGCTCCCCTTTCTTCTCCTCTCTTCCCTATTCCGTGGATCTCCTTCCCTCCTCTATAAATATTAGATGGATACCATATGCTTGAAATAATTTGAAACTTACCTCTCATCTATTTCCCCTTCTTCCCCTTCTTCTCCTCCGCCGGAATCCTCTACCCCTACTCCTCCTCCGTCGGAATCCTCCTTCCCCTTCGTTCCCTCTATCTCCTCCCCTATTTCCTTTCCCCTCTGTTTCTCTGCCTCCTCGCCGCTGCCCAGTCGCTGTCTTCCGCCTCGCTGCCATCATCCCATCCTCCTTGCTGTCATTCGTCGCCATCTGCGTCCTGCCCTTCCGCCTCACTACCGTCGTTCCGGCCTCATCACCATCCGCCTCATCGCTCCTGTTCCCACCTCCTCGCCGCCGCCCCGTCGCCGCCTTTCCGCTTCCTCGCCATCCGCATCGCCACCACCGTTCTGCCTCTTCGCTGCCCTTCGGCCTCCTCGCCGTCCGCATAACCGCCACCATTCCACTCGTCGCTGTCCGACTCGTCGCCGTCTTTTGTTTCCTTGCCGTCCACCCACCACCTCTTTTTTTTCTTTTTTTTTTCTCTCTCGTTCTCGCCCTCTCTCTCTGGTTCCTCTCTCTGTCTCTCTCTCTCTCTTTCTGTCTCTCTCATTCTCGCCCTCTCTCTCTCTCTCCCTCCCTCTCACTACCGTTCTCTCCCGTCTTCTTCCCCTAGTGATCTTTTCCTTGATCTTATCTCCTTCCCCTTTCTTCTTCATCGTCCACCAAAGTCCTCTTCCTCCTCTTCGGATTTCTTCCTTTCTTCCATTCTATTCATTTTCTTCTCAAAAGCATGAGACTCCTAAGGAGGATCAAACCTACTGCTCCAAGAATCAGCAAAAGTTTTTAAGTCTTCTAACAAGATACTTTTACTTCTAAATTATTGTGGTGATTGATCAAATTTATAGCTCCCTTGATTTAGAAGTGAGTACCCATATGATAGCCACTAAATTTCAACGTTTGATGATTCATTCCACTAGAAAAAGTCTTCTCTAATTTATAAAAGAATAGTCCTAATTAAGATAATTAAAATGATCCTAACTTTCTTTCATTATGAGTGTAGAGACTTAAGATCTCACTTTGAAAGTCTTTACAAACCCTAAATTGATGTACCTCAATTCAAAGGGATAATCTGATTTCCTAAATTGGTCCCACATCATAATTCCTTCTTCTTCTATATATCTTTGTGCAACTAGTCTAGTTTTGTTTCTTATTATTGTGACTTCTTCATTTAATTTATTCTAATATATATATTTTCTGTCAATTATCTTCCAATTATTAGGCTTACGCACCAATTCTCACACTTTAACTTATATAACTTGTTTAAATTTCTCATGGATTGCATTAACCCAATTTTCATTAGTCAATGCTTCGTCAATATTTTTAGATTGTATTTCTGAAGTAAATGCAGCAAAGTGACTTTGCATTATAAAAAATGAGTATGTTTTTATTTTGTCTTTGTGAGTTCTTATGATGTTTTCTACCAGATAAGTCTGTATTACTCTAAGAGGTTTTGGAAAAACTTCATCTTGATGGTCTATTTTTGTATCATTGATATCTTCTCACCATCATCCTCAAGTTCCTTATCTTGGTCATTTGGTAATTTTTCAATAATTTCTTCCTCTTCTTGACATGAAATAGGTTACGATTTTTCTATAAACTTCACATGAATGATTCTTCTATATGCAAGGTTTTCTATATTCTCTAAATTTTTCTGAATATCTTATGAAAAAATTTATGCCCTAAAGGTTTGACATATGACACATCTTGTTTTCTTCTTTTCACCAATTCATAAGATGTTTTTTTAGTTTAGGTCTAATCAATATCCTATTCATAATGTAGACTATATTAACTGCTTCAACCTGATTTTTTTTGACAATTTCTTTTCAGCTATGTTCTCGAAATGTCTAATAGTGACCTATTTTATCTTCCCACAACTCAATTTGCTGTGGGGGTCAAAGCCAAAAAACGTTGTGCGATTCCTCTTTCATCACACATTTTAGTAAATTTAGAGTTCTCAAATTCAACTCCATGGTCAATTCATATACTCTTACTGGTGAGTTCAACCTTATTTTCAACTTTTAGACTAAGTTTCATGAAATTAGAAAATGTTTCATCCTTGATGGTTAGAAATTGTGCCCATACATATCAAGAATAATCATCTATGCTAACTAGATAATAAACTTTGCCATTAATACTAGTGGTTTAGTTGGTCCAAATAAACCCATATGTAAGTGTTCAAATGGTTAAGTAGAATTAATATGCACCTTTGGTTTGAAGGATTCTTTTAAAAAAAAATTCTTCAATGCATTCGTCACACATTAAAAGTGGGTTATCTTCTAAATTTGAAAATCCTTCCACTAGTCATAGGGAAATCAACTTCTTAATTACCCTAATATGACCTAATTTTCTATGCCAAATATTTAATTCCTCTAAAACGTTTTTAGCAATCAAGCATGCTTTTGTATTTACTAATTCACTCCAATGTATAGTATACACATCACCTTGTAAAAAACCAGTAAATAACAAGTCATTTTTATATCCATCAAGTATCAAACATCTATTTACTTTGAGGTGAACTCCCATGTAATTATCACATATTTGACACACTAATTAAGTTATGATTTAAACCTTGAACAAGAAGAATATTCTTAATTAAACTTCTATCTAAAGTATCAATATCACCAAATCTTATGATTTTTCTTTTAATATTTAGTCAAAAGCTGGGTTTTCCTCCATCCATACTTTTGAATAAGGATAACCGCTCTCCATTCATGTCTTGAAAAACTGCTCTCCAAGTACTCCTTTTTGTGGTCAACTAATTTTCCCTAATCGTTCTAAGGTAAGGTGTCAAATTAAGATATTAATGTGCTTAATTCGTTACTAATTAATATTTAATCTTAGTGGTCTTCAGGTCAATCTACAAGGATAGAGACAATTAGATCATCAATGAACTCTTGGCAATAAACTCTAACTCTTTATTTGCAGGTTGAGTGACACCTATTCAATGATCCAAACTGTTGGAAACTTTGTTTGATTCAAGACCTTCAGCATGCATACTATATTCTGATATCTCACAATCCATAGGAATCAAGAATCAGATCACTAACCATTTCCAAATAAGAGATTTATCAAAAGAAAGTAAAAACGTCAACTAGCAGAGTTGTTTTGTTAGTGGGAGAATAGCCTCAGTAATTTAAGTGAATTTTTTGAAAATAGAATGAAATGTTAAAAACATGGTGTTTAAATATTTTTAAAAGAGTAGCTATCCGAAGAAATAAGAAACAAGAAAAATGACTATGAAATGAGAAAGTAGTACACAAAATACTCTTGAAGTATCACCCGGATGTCAAAAAACAAATGTGGAAGTGAAAACATGTATAAAATTTAAGGTAAACTATAGACTATATGCTTTAAATGATCAGATCCTACCATATGGCTGTCACTCATACAATGGCATTAATCATGCAGAAAAAAATGAAAGAGAAAAGCATTAAACTTGTTGAGACATCAAACAAACACACTAAAACACTCTTCTCCCATCTGTCACTTGGAAGATCTTGAGAGTGTAATAAGAAATTTCTTGAATAAAAACTTAAGTTTCTTTAAATCTTTAGCTGTCACCCAAGGACTTCAAGAATCACGAGCAAATTTTCTAACTAAAACCTACTGCAAATTGAAAGAGAAATGAAATTTATGCAGAACAGAACTCTTGGTTGATAATGTAAAGACTAAGGGCGATTAATGTCTCTCCTTCTTCTCCCCATTCATAACATGTTTGGGAATATATATAAGCCTCAATTGGTTGAAAAATTGAAGTCAAAATTTGGTGAAAAAATTAATTTCGGTGGCTTTTTAGCACTAAGGCAGTGCTGCCGAGTTTCCTCAAATAGGAATTTTACCCCATCTTAACCACGGTGGTTAACACTTTGACTGAGCTTCCAAAAACTTCATGAGATGTCTTTGTTCCTTCTTAGTTGTTGGTAAGTTGGTTTGATCAATTTCTTTTAGTCCTCTTTAGTATTTCATTACCATTACTTTCCTCATCTTTAATTTCTCTCTCTCCTCTTCTAATCTCTCATTGGCCTTTGTTAATACTTTATGTAAGGGATTTTCCATGGCTTTAATTGATTATTTACTACTTCCAGGGTCAGAAAAATATAATTCTAATAATGCACAAGGTTTAAAACCTTGTATTGAAATGTTAGATTGAGAGAGAAAATATCAACATGTGAACAATATGGTAAAATTTCTAAAACTTTTGGTTTTAATTATACAGTCCTGATTTCTGCCCATAAAAGGATTCTCATTAGGTTAACCTAAATTTATGATAGTTTTAACTTTTTTTGAAACAGTCATATAGATTTTTCGAGAGTTATAACATAATAATTTGACTTTATCATCCATCGGAGAGTTTCCTGAAATAATCAAGTCTTAATTTTAGAAAACGATTTTTCTTTTGGTTTATATGTAACTATTTTAGATTTAGGAACCAAAGCATATCTGAATGTTCAATTTGATTTTCTTTTGTAAAAATGGCATACCTACTCATATGAATATGTCTATACATTCTACTTGAATGTTTTTCTCTCATGTATGTACATTATTCCTGATAAAGGTACATTTAAGAGTTTACTTATATACATTCTTACAGCATTTTCTTGAATGATAGTTCTCTCATTTCTAGGAGCATCTCTTACTCCTTTTCTTCCTAATAAAGGTTGTTGACTCCCCAACAATAAATTCATATTTTTCTCACTTCCACATAACTTCAAATAGACTGAATTTTGAATAATAAAGTTTCACTTCTAGTAAAGAATGTTTGTTTTTTGTATCTTTGCATTATTTCTTTAATTCCTCATTTTTATTTTTGATATTTTAGTTTATTTTTCAGATTCCTCAAAATTAATTCATCAAATGCAAATAGAATCTCATCCTTATATAGTTCAAATTCAATTGATGATTGTACCTCATCTTTGTTTTCTATAAGATATAAAGCCTACGGTTAGTTTTCATGTGACTAGGTATATTTTATTTATAAAAAACTTCATTAGATTTATTTGAACTAGAAAGAGAATGTTCTGAATCTTATATTTCATTTTCTTCTCATATTTCATATATTTTTGAATTATTTAGAGATAAGGACCATAGGATTTCCTTCATCTAAACAAGATTCAGTCAAAAAAAAATGCTTTAAGAGTAATATTTTTTTAACATGTTCTTCTTCCTCTTCATTTGATAGGCCTAATTCATAAGTTGATAATGACCATTAATTCATCTAGGATAATATTTCTTAAATCTCTAAACTCTACAAAAAGTTTCTTAGATTTACACTTTACTGTTAGAGACCTAAGAATTCTTTTCTTTAATTCAAAGGTTGTAGATTTTATATCTAGTTATATTAGTGTGTTTGCTATCTTAGTAAATCTATTGAATAAATATTTAATAGAATCCTTCTCCATCATCTTAAAAATTTATAATCCATGAGTGAGTTTATCAATTTTTGTGTCCTTGAATTGTTCCTTCATAGATAACTCTAATTTTGTCCGTAATCTTTTCTACTATTTCACAATTTGAAATCCTTTGAAACTCATTTGCATAAATGGTATAATG